GGCTGGAGGCCAGGTCCCGACCGTGTGACCAGCCCCTCCTCTGCTGCTTTCTGTCCCTCCCGCCTCACGCTCCAGCACAAGTGGGTTCTCTGCTCTGAGTTCTGAAGGTGGGGAGCAGACTGCGACGTGGCCAAGCAGCTTCTCTTCCTCCGGGGCCACGGGTGGCTCTCACCTCCTCCAGGTAGGGCAGCACGTCCCACAGGGACAGGCAGAAAACTGGCTTCACTGCCTCGTACGTCGTCTTGGGAAGAAGGTCCGGTGGGAGAGGCAGAGGGGCCCCTGCGACACAAGCAGACAGAAGGCCGTCCGAGAGGATCCCCCGGTCACGGCGCCTCCAGCCTCCCTGGGCCTGGCTCCTGCCCACAGCCCAGCACGCCCCTGGCCCAGGCCGCTCTCAGTCGAGCCGGAACGTCACTGGGAAGGCAAGGCCAGGGGCGGGCAGGGGCCTCCACATGTCCTCGGGGACCTTGACACCTGTGAGAAGGTGGGGCTGGCGGGACCCCAACTCTGATGAGAACTGCCCCTCACACATGCCTGTCCTCGTCTGGGATGTTCCCACACACAGACCAGCTGGGGTGCAGGCTGGGGTTGAGGGGAGCAACTCAGAGCAAAATCTGGGGTCTCAGAGCAGAAGCCAGGCCCAGCAGGGCCTGGGTCCACGCAGGCAGGTACCTGAAACAGAACCGAAGAATTCCCGGAGCTTGACGTACTTGGCGGTGTAGTCCCCGGCCTCTGTCAGCACCGCGTCATAGTCTGCAAGACACCCAGCACCGTCATGGCCTTGGACCCCGGGCCCCACGACATGTCATGCGTGGCAGCAGATGGAAGGGGAGAGGCTGAGCAGACGGCAGGGTCCTCGCCCAGCAATTTGGGCATCGTCAGTCGAGATGTCACACCTACTAAATACTACTGAACGCCACCCAGAATGCCAGGCCCTGAATTTCCAGGCAGGGGGCCAGGGTCGCCTCATCTCAAGGCCTGAGGAGGGAGAGGGGCTCCCCCACCTGAGGGTCTTCCCTCCCCAGCCCGTGCCCCCTCTTCCCCTGGCTGACTTCCAAAGACCCCCCGTCTCCTACGGCTCTGAAAGCTCAGAAGTGATCCGCAGACAGAACCTTGGCCATCACACTGATGGGGCCATAAGCCATCCCGAGGGGTTCCTCTCAAAGCCCAGACCCACAAAGCTGGGTGCGCAGGGAAGGCCCGAGCTGGGGACACTTGCCGTAGCTGGTGACGTCAGACTTGTAGTCCTGGAAGTGCAGCGCCCCATTCATGAAGCCAAAGTTGGTGCCCCCATGGAACATGTAGAGGTTGATGGAAGAGCCGGCATCCACGATGGCAGACACCGTCTTGAGAACCTCTGGCGGGTGGGTGCAGAGTCAGAGAGAGAGGGAGAGAAAGAGATAGAGAGACAGAGACGGAGAGAGAGACAAAGACAGAGAGAGGGGGAGAGAGAGAGACAGAGAGAGGGAGGGCCATGCGCTGAGGCCTTCCTCCGACCCCCTCACCGCTCGTCCTAGAGCTGCCACTAAACCCAACCATAGGCTGTGGGGGAAGACGGCAGATCTCGGACCCATGGCCCGGGCTTCCAGGGCTCTTGAATCCCAGGCAAGTCTGCACTGACCCAAGTCTGCAGCCCGCAGTACGGCGGCCCCTCCTCCTGGCGGGCCTCTCCTGTGACGCCCACTTAGGAGACAGGGAGACCAGATTCAGAAAGGGAGACGTGGTTCTGACCCCCACCCTTCCCTGGTCCCACTGGACTGGAGAGTGAACCCTCAGCGCTCAGTAACAGCAGAGCAATGACATAAATGGCTGATAAATACGAACATACATACGGTTTAAAACCTCAGCACTGGTCCAAGACATGAGGGCTGAACGAGGACCTATCAGACCACCAAGCACCAAAATTACTTTCACACTCAGTGTCGACGCGCCTGCTGGAAATGGGACGGCTAGGCTCTTCTTGGGGCAGGTGAGTAGGCACGGTCAGACGTGCATTAACGAAGCAGGGCTGTTGCTGGGAAGGTGTTGCAGGAGACAGGCCAGGTGAGCTAACCTGACCACGGGAGGGCCACCCAGGTCCTCATCAACAAGAGACCAGATCAGCCCCCCAGGCTCTCTGCGTTCCTTCAAGTGGTGGTGGGAGCCACACCTAACCACGTAGGAAGCTGTGCACCTGTGTCCCTCACGGGCACGCGAGGCTGCAGGAGCAGGTGCGCCCACCTCTGCCCACACCCGTCTGCAGGCGTGCCCAGGGCTGCGGACGGAGACGGAGGATGCCTGGGCCACACACGTCCCAATGTCTGCTCTGCGCTCCAGGGCTTCTGCTTCTTCTTGACACATTGTGCTGGCCGGGTGTCTCCAGAGACACGTGTCCTCACCTGCTCACAAAGGCGTCCCAGAGCCCCGTTCGACCGCTCACTTCACGCGTCAGGACTGGTGACTCTGGACCATCAAGACCTGACTATGCGGCAGAGACTCCCCGGAGCCCGGCAGCTCCTCTGCATCACGTAGCAGCCAAGCCAGAACTTACTCTCACACTCGCGCTGGACGCAGCCCTGGACACTCACCTGAGGAGTCCAGGATGTTGTGTGGGCCGCCCCACGAGTCGAACCAGCCGGTCCAGTACTCCATTACCATCTTGGGCTGAACGCTCTGCGCACCACAAAAGCAGATGTCAGCTGGCTGAGGGAGATGGGGGCCCTTCCTGATGAGTCCAGCACCTCTGACTTCTGGACCCTTCCCAGCTGCACACCCAGCCTCAGACGCCTGTAAGCAGGGCACAGGTGAGCACCAAATGCACCTGCAGCTGCTCGTCCCCCATGTGCAGCCTCCACCCAGAGTAGAGTGAGTGGCTGGGGCTACCTAAGTGAACACAGCAGACACTGCCCCGTGGATGTGGTGTCAATGCTGCCCACGGTGCTGGTGGAGAACCCCAGGTTCCACCTGAGGTGAGCCTTTCCCAGCAGCACAGCCATGTGGTCCTCACACCGGTTTGCTTTCTAGATCAAACCAAGCTCTGCGTGTCCTCTTCAGGAGGGAGAGCCTTCCACCAGAGTCACCCTCTCTGAGAGGCTCATGTGGACACAGACCCGCAGCTGCCGCGTCCCTTTGGCTGGAGGGGTCAGGGGCCTGTGGGGTGGGCCCTCCACCAGGCCCAGGTCAGTTTCATCAGAAGTTTGCAAAACCAGACCAGAAGACCAGGGCGTCACAGCTGTCCCAGTGCAGACTCTGCCACCACGATGCCTCAGCCAGGACGTCCCAGAGTCTAGTATTGCTTCCAGATCCTGACTTGCCACAGGACTGCCCCAAGGACACAGAGCTCACTCCCGGGACCAGCTCTGCATAGCCACGTTCGCAGAAGCGCCAGAGTACCAGAGAGGCGCTGGGGCTGATGCTGGTGTCGCTGGTTCTGCCCCGCAGGTCTTCCTCGCCCATCAAGCACCCACTCTGCCACTGACAGCCTGGCGGTCAGGGGCCCCGGCACAGGGCACCACTGTCCCTTCAGGGTGGTGGCAGGTTTGTGGTCCGTTGAGTAGAAGGTCCCCACCATGCCGCAGAAAAGGCCACAGAGGTCATGACAATTTTCTAGCAAGATCAGTGGCTTGGTTTCCTTATGGATGCCTACCTCCAAGGGGACACCCTATACCTTGTTTAGGTCACTGAGTCACACACGTCAGCAGCCTCCAGTGCCAGGAGGGGTCCCACACCTGAGGGGCCGGGCTGTCCACCAATGGCCCGACGTAGCCAAGAGCTGGCTGTGCCTGGACTGTGCAGGACTCCCTGACCTGCCCCTGCCAGGGCTTCCCTGTCCTGGAATCTGTCTCCTGTGGCCACTGGGAGAATCACAGGGGATGGGACACTGGAGCCCTCAGCACACGCTGACCCCTGAAGACGTGCTCGGGGATACCTGCTTTCATCTTTTTGTCACTGGACAGACCCAGGCCGGCAAGGTGCAGCCTGGCACCCCAAGTAAAGCAGGGCAGGGGCACTGACCCCCTGAAGGACCTCTGATCTGAACGGCCCCTTCCTGGTTGAAAGCACACGTTGTGGCCACAAGTGCTGTGGACAGGACAAATAGCCTGGGGCCACCCTTCTGAGGACGACGCTGCAGGAGCCTCTGGGGATCATGGCTGTCTGAGTTCCCCCCAAACATCACCCACTTGACCTTTAACTGCCCTATGAGGGGTCCCACTGTGACCCCCACTTCACAGAAGAGGGCAGAGAAGGTGAGGGGCACAATACCATCCCCATCCTGGGCAAACTCCAGGACAAGCCCACTTGGCTCCTGGGCAACTGTTTCCCTAACGCGTCTCTTCCCCGGTGGGCAGAGAACCTGTCGTCTCAGACCCCCGCTCGGCAGGTGGAGGAAGCGGGGACACAAGCTGGGCCAGGGCCGCCTGCATGCTGTCTTCTCGCACCTGTGGAGCAGCTGTCCAGGGGCCCACTCTGTCCCACCTGGGCACCTCTCTGCATCCTGCTGGTCCCTCTAAACTCCAGTAGCACCTCCCACACACTGGGGCCCTCACCCTGGCGGCTTCACACTGTGGTGATGTTTCACGTGGCTGTCCCTCTGGACACCACATCTGCTCCGAAAAGGAACAGCTGGAACAGGGGACAACCCAGCCTCCCCCACCAACAGCCCCATAACACAGAGTGAGATGCAGCCTCTGCTCCCCCAAATGGTCACAGTGGCCTGGGCCAGATCATCACTCTCCCTGGGAGAGGACGCGGACCTAAGACCGGAGGAGTCAGTCAGGGTAGGACTTCACCATAAGTTCCTGGATACATCCAAGAGCTCCTCCCCTCCTGGCCTGGAAGGGACTAGGACTCCCATTTTCTGGTGACAATCGTCTTTCCGGGCCCAGAGCAGGTTAAGGTCAGACACAAACGAGCAGGGAATGTCTCTTCCCTCAACCCCTAGGGCCAAAATGAGCACACCTGGAACTCCTGAGTCTACAAACTTCCAGACAAGAGGCCTCTGGGACACAGCCCACCACGCCCAGAGCTTCACAAAGGGCCCCTTTCTCAAGAGGCAGGAAACTAGCTTCACGCACCAGCCGACACAGGGACCCCTCAGAGCAACCTCGCCGGGGCAGGAAGAGGGGCACAGGGGTGGGATGGGCCCTGGGGAAGGGAGGCTGAAGCCCAGGGCTGAGCCAGGGCTGAGCCAGGGCCTTCCCTCTGTCTGCGGACCCAAGCCAGGGACAGGTTCCCCACATGGAGGCTCAGCCCCGCTTTGGGAACCTGGTCCATGCTCACTGACTCACCTGGACACTTAGCAGATAGGTGACCAGCAGCTGCAGCTCGCTCTGTGACTGCAGGTTGATGGTGGCCAGCACTGCAGGGGAGGAGAACAGAGAGTTCTCCCCAAATCCAGGAAGACCTGGACCCTCCTCACCCCACCAGCAAATCAACTAACTCATCTCGACTCTGTCTCCCACCTCCAGTCACAGCTGACTCCTGTAACGTCAGGAGAAACCCCACCACTTGGCAGAGCCCCCCACCCCGAGAGGCACACCCCCCTGAGACGCACCCACCCTGCACTGCTCTCGATCACATACTCTTTAGACCAGAGCCCAGAGCCTACAGTGCACGTCCAGTGCCCAGTACAGGGTGCCCTTCTAAACCAAGGCTCCCTTTTACATCTTAGGGAATGGCTAATTTTCTGTTCCACCCCCAAGATCTTTAAACGGCTTTCTGCCAGAAAACGGGATCCCTGAGAAAGAAACCACGGACATGGCCCTGAGGCTCCTTGCCTGCGTCTTGCTCCTAGATGGGGGGCCTGGGGAGGCAGGGGAGCCACCTGGGCAGCTGGCCCCCCAATGCACCAGTGATTACAGACAGACAGACAGACAACAGCTGGGGCTCCGGGAGGTTAAACGACTTGTCTCAGGTCACACCACTGGTGAGTGACCCACCTGTCTGGGTAAGACTGCACATCCAGGCCCTCCTCACCAGAAGTGGACACCTGAGACAGGGGGCCAGCCTGAAACCTTGGCAGGGTCTCAGAGCCCAGTCAGCACGGCCAAGCGAACCCTGCACCTGCTCCGTCCTCCGTGACAGCCCAGGAAACAAGACGGAGGAGGAGACAGTAGGGAGCAAGAACGGGAGATGGGACGGTAGTTCAAGGATACCTCGGGTGCCTGGAAAGGGGCGGTGGGTCTGGAAGCCACCTGAGAGCCGAGGGGACTGCTGGCCCCCACCCCAGCCCCCTGCTTCTCCACATCCCAGCCTCACGCCCCCTCTAGCCCAGGAAAGCGGAGGCTCGGTGGGAAGAGGACACTATGAACAGGTGACCCCTGCCGTTCCTACTGCCGGACACCCGCAGTGACGGCCCGAGGGTTCTCCTCAGGCATCACTTCATCCTGCGAAGCAGCACCCGCAGCACCATACAGGATTCCTCTCACTGGAACACGGACTCGCCCATCACCCACGGAGAGAGCACCAGCCACACCCCCACCAGCCCCCAGGGCCACTCGGTGCCTCTTCCCTAAACTGCTGGGTCAGCGCCAGATGATCCATCAAGAGGCTCCCAGACATGGGAAACAGAGCAGAACCAGTTAATGTGCAAAACAGTGAAATGCCCTCAGAGAGAGATGAGAAAGACAGAGTCCCTGAACAAGCAGGCTGTGAGGAAAGAAATATGTTGAAGAGAAACGTGAGTGTGACCCAGGAACTAGGACTGGAGGAAAACAGCTGAGGATGTCACCCATGACACAGCAGGGAAGGCGGGGATGAACCACCGCGCACTTGGAGGGTCACCACGGCGGCACACAGGCCAGACGGGACAGCACAGCCGGGAGGGGCCAGCTGGCCGCCCCGCCCGGCAGCTCGGACGGGGCGTCCCGCAGAGACCACCGACTGGGAAACCTGGACAGACAGGCGGACAGACAAGAGGATGGGGACCCAGGCCCAGTCCCAGGGAAGGCGTGCCGGCCGCGGTCAGGCCCGGGACAGCGCGGCGCCGGCGCCACCGGGCTGGACCAGAATCTGACAGCGCAAAACCTGTCGACACCAGGACAGGAGTTCGGAAGAGAAAAGAGGGAGGGAGGAAGAGGGAGAGAAAAGCCCTCAACAGGAGAGGAAAATAAACGGGGTAATTACAGCAGAAGCGCGGCCGCCAGTAGGGCGGGGAGGGGTCTGCACCGCCAGGAGGGCCGCGGGGCCAGAGCGGCAGCGGAGACCTGAACCCTCGGCGGGAAGGAGCGCGCAGCCCCACGTCACCGAGATTTACGGAGAAGATGCCCGAGAAGAGTTAAATGTTCAGAATGGTCACTGCCGGGCGCTGCGCGCGGAGGGCCACACTGTTTCTTTATGCGCGTTCCTATGATTTTACTTTTACACCTTGGGAAAGCCTTACTTTACTTTACTTTAACTAAATCGTTTAAAATAAGTAATTCCGGGCGGCAGGCAGCGATCCGGAGGCTGGGGGCGGGGGTGAGGGCGGGAGGAGGAGGGAGGCGGGGGCGCGAGGGGC